ATCTATCCTCCCGAATATCGCCTCAGATTCACTTCTCCGCACGTCCTACCTTCCAGAAAGTGGTCGCTTTTCTGTTCAGAGAGTGGTTGCTATTCTTTTCTTTGATCTCGTGTTGAGTCTGTAGGTGTTCAGAATGGTTTGATCCCTATCCAGCTGAATTCCTGAGACTAGACGAAATCCAGGTCTCCTACTCCTCCACCATCTTGCTGCGCCCCCCGATTTTGTCAAACTTTTAAAATTATTGCTAATCTGGTGAATGTGAACTGTATCTCATTATTTTAATTTGCATTTCACTTGTTACTACTGAGTTGATTATCTTTTCATATGAATACTGGCCACTCAAGTTTCTTCCTCTATGAATTGCCTGTTCATCTCCTTTCCTCATTTTTCTTGTGGGCTTCTTTTCAATCTAAATTTTCAAATTCTTTTAGGATTGTTAGAAATCTTTATATTTTTCCAGATATTAATCCCTTTCACGTTATTTGGTTTGGGAACTATTTTATACATGCTTATTGATTAGTGCAGTTTCTTTTGAATAGGTGGATTGATATCTTTCATCATCCATGGAAAATTATCAGTCTTTCATTTCTTCAAATACTGTCTTTATTATACAACCCTTCTCTCCTTCTCAATCAAATTAATCATTGCCCATCTCTATCTTCTTTTGTGTCTCCACTCCTTTATTTTCTGTATTTTGCTTTCTCTCTATGCTACATTTTGGGTGACTTATTATGGTCTGTTTTCCAGTTTAGTAATTCTCTCCTTTGTTCAGTCTGTTATTAAACACATCCAGTTGAGTTTTTAAAATTAAATGTTCTATTTTCATTGCTTTTTTTTTCATATCTTGTAGGTCACATTATGTAATTTCCACTTCCTTTCAGATATTTTCAATCTTGTCCTTATTTCTTTAAACTTTGCAAGCCTATTTGTTATATAATCCTCCGATTATTCCAATATGTGACATTTTTGTGGATCTCTTTTTGCTGGCTGTTTGTGTTTTTTTTCTCACTCATAGTATCATGTTTCCTTGTGGCCTTGCTTATTTTTGATTATGTACTGCCAATTGTCCTTGAAAACTTATTTGTGAGGATTCCCTAGGGCATAGGGTAAAGTTTTCTCCTCTAGTTAAGATTTGCATTTGTGCCTGTCAGACCCCCAGAGGCATAAACAGTACAGAACAACTTTAAATTAAATTTACTGCTTGAGGTTTCCTGGACCACCCCACTGATGTGAGTTAAGGCTGAAAATCTATGCAAGAGACCATTTGTGGTTACCATTTTTAAGAGACAGGTTTTTCTTATTCCATTTCCCCTCTCTGTGTTGCTCAGCATGAAATCCCACCCTCTTCAAGTTCCCTGCATGTGGGTTGTGGTTAAGAAGGTGGATTTACTTACTTCAGAGTTTTAGTTTAATGTGCTTATCTCATATATGGTTCCTCCAGTCTGATGGGGTCTGGACTCTGACTTATCTACTCCATGCCTCTTCAAGTCATCTAAATTGCAACTCCATCTTATCTGGATTAGCAGATGTCCTCAGGGAAAAAGGAGCTTTGTGGCTGTTTACTTTTCTAGATATCTACTTTTCTTCTAGAGTTTGTCTTGGCATCTCATCCTCACTATCCTTTGAATTCTTTGATGTTTGTAAGAAAATGATTTTAACAATTAAAGTTGGTATGAATAAACTAACCTTCCATTTCTGAAATTGGAGGTTGTAGAGCATCTTTTAAATTTACCTGATTGCTTATACAATTCTTTCCTTTTCCTTGAAATTTAAAAATATCACCAGGATGTTCTGAGATGACAACTTCTAAAAATTAATTTTTCCTGCTACAAAGTAAGTCACTTTGTTTTACCAATTTCAGGGTTTTTTCCTCAGCTAAATAAAATCTTCATTTTATTGCATCCTTATCGCTGTTGTTCCATTTCTTCCAATCATTGCTTTAGGAACTGAGTCCCTTCTGTCTAAAATTTTCATCTTTTGGTTTCTTTTACTTTATGTTGTAGGAGAGTCTCTCAAGCTTGTCTATCATATAAGTGATTTTGCCCCTCTGTAGTATTGTTACTATTTTAATTTCTACTTCTAGTCATGTGTAAGATATTTATGACATTATTTACTTCATTATAGCTTTTAAAATTTTTTCCTACTTTTGTCTTAGTATTTAGTTGTTTTCAAGTCATGTTTCTTTACATACTTATAGAAATGATGATTTTTGTAGCTTTCCTGGGTATTACATCTTAGTATAAATCACCTATGAAAATGGTTTTATCTTTTTTTATTTATTTATTTATTTATTTATTATTATTATTTTTTAAGATTTTATTTATTTATTCATGAGAGACAGAGAGAGAGAGAGGCAGAGGGAGAAGCAGGCTCCCCGTGGAGCAGGGAGCCCGATGCGGGACTCGATCCCAGGACCCTGAGATCATGACCTGAGCCGAAGGCAGACGCTTAACCATCTGAGCCACCCAGGCGCCTGAAAACGGTTTTATCTTTATTATTAATTACAATATTTATATCTTTGTTGCAGATCCTTTGTATTTGTCCATTGTGATTTTATTTATTCATTTTCAAAAATTTTTTAATCATTTTAAGAAACTGAAATAACAATAACAAACATTTAAATGGTGAGTTCCACTGAAAATAATTAATCAAGGAAATGAAATGTAAGCATGTTACACAATAAAAAGTAAAGCAGTTGAACTATAACATTTAAACATGCAAACAATCCTTTTTTTAAAACCTAAAGATAAGGAAGAAGATACTTAGGTCTTATTTATACACAGGCATTTTTAGTAGTATATAAATGTGAGAAATCATTTGGGTTTAAAAAGAAGTCATAGGTGGGAATTTCTAAGGCCAACCTAATTCCTTCTTATTTATTAGAAGTGGAGAAATGAGCATTGAGACAAAATGTGGATATACCAGTTGCCACCAGTGTAAGAAAAATAAATTTATTCTGAAAGTCCTTGTGAACAATCAGTCAACAGAAAAATACATTCAGAAAACCATGTTAGAACTCGAGGTGCAAAGTTTCTATTCTGCAGATGTTCAGAGTCTAGTTGGGGGCTGATAGAGATAAACGTTAAATAAGTATTATAATGTGGTATCCCCCCCCTTCCTCTCCCTACCCCGTATATGTAAAAATGATTTATACAAATTATATATATATATATAATTATATACCTGTATATATAATTTATCTGTATATATTATATAATTTGGCATACACAGGGAAAATGAGCCATCTACATATACAAAATGAAGTTGGTAACAAAGATAACATTTGTGTGAAATATTTTGCCTTTTTAGTTTCCTCTGGAACCCAGAAGCCATTGGATTGCTGAAATTTTAAAGATTTTATTTATTTATTTGACAGAGACACAGCAAGAGAAGGAACACAAAGCAAGGGGGGTGAGAGAGGGAGAAGCAGGCTTCCTGCAGAGTGGGGAGCCCGATGTGGGGCTCGATCCCAGGACCCAGGGATCATGACCTGAGCTGAAGGCAGATACTTAATGACTGAGCCCCAGATTGCTGAAATTTTAAACCCAAACTTAGATATTCCAATAATTGCATATCAAATGACCACTAGTAGCTAAGCATCTAATACACAATAGCATACAAAAATTTGGAAGGTGATAAAAATGGTGCGAATGGGTTCCCCATTTCTTTTCCAAGAAAAACCTCCTAATGGGCTGCTGATGAGCTAATCAGGTCAAGTGCTCTCTGAGTTGCCTTCTTTATACAGAGTCAGCAAGCATAACATTTTGTTAACCTATTGACACAGAGAAAATTTGTTTTCCATCTGACCTTTTACAGTAACTACTCAAAATTACTTTCTCTTCACCTAACAAAGTTAATGAATAAATTATCCAACTTTAACACTCACAGACAGGAGCATTTAAAATCGTTGTTTTTATTCCCAATCATTTGGTTTTCTCTTTCAGCCATTACTTCTTTCCCTAGGAAAAAAGTTTTAATTTTTACTGAAAATTTGCAGTTGTGGTTTAGAGAGTAATACTCTTGAACTATCTGGAGCCAATCACATATTCACAAAGCAATTTGTTATTTTGCAAATATTATATTCATAGATGTTGAAATGGTCCCATGATAGTTTTATGATGCATAGAAATGTTACTAAGAATTTGTAACTATTTGTATAAGATAGAATAAAAGTTTAACTTTGGGCTACATATAAACAAAGGGTTTCCTAAGGAAATAGTTATTAAAAATACATGTGGCATTTTAAATCTGATAATAAACTCTTTTCCAAAATGGAAAAGTAATTATGGGTCTTTGTTATTATTCCTTATTAAACCTTGATTCTGAAAGAATGAGATTATATATATTTCCTCTGCAGACTATTCTAACAGTTACTGCCCTATGAATATTATTTAAGCATCATTAAATCCACTTACTGCTCAAATTTTCAGAGAAAAATTTAAGCTCACTCACATTTCATTTACCATGAATAAGCACACAGGTTATCATTTTAACATTCTCCATTAACATAAATATATAGCAATATTATTTTACACTTGTTAGAAAAATTCTATAGACTTGAAAGAACCAAGAGCATTTTGGATTATCATCAACAAATGGCCATTGTTCCTTTTGGAAACTGTTCCTGGTCACTAAAAAGTGTATTGCTTTAACCGCAACTCATTAAACTAAGTTTAATGGCTCACAAATTATATCAACAGCAACATTTCTTTCAGTTGAATATGCAAAGTGGGTTTTTATTCTTGTTATGTTTGATTATCTACCTTGAACAGTCTTATAATGGAACTAGTTAAGGCATCATTAAATATTCTTGTAATGGGGAAGTAACACCATTATGAAGCAGACAGTAATGCTTCAGTAATAACTACTTTTGTTATTAAATACTCTTACAAGATTTTTTCCCCCCAAACTTTAATTTAATTTTGTGGGATGGTGAGTAAGATCTCTTTTAGTTTAATTATTTATAGATCCACGCACCTAACAATCAAAATATCTCTTAGTTTCTTTTAGAGCAGAAAAACATAGGCCTTGCTTGGAAATTCTTAAGGAATGTCAAAGAGCTGGTCCTGTTGGAAAGGTTAGTAGTTATATTTCAAAAACATAAATGCAGCAGTTTTAAACATGGTTTAGTGCCCAGAATAACTTGTTGGTTTTTTTTTTTTTTCATTTTTAACATAAATATTAACTGCCACTGTGTAATTGAGTCACAAACACATTTGAATTCAGGAATTTTTATACTGAAATATTTCTCTGTGAACAAATCCCATCTCTCCAAACAGGAAGATTTTGTTACTGCTTGTGTATTTTAAAAGCGAGAAAGCCTTGAATTACACAGAACTACATTGGGTATTTTATGTATCTGTATACTCTTATTCCATTCCCCCTCTCATATTTGTGTTTCTCAAAATATCTAGGACAGCATTTTTTCATGCTTGCATATACTTAAGAATATAGCATAGTGGTTAAAAACTTGGATTCTGTAGCCAGACTGCCTGAGTTCAAATCTTGTTCTGCAACCTTTAGTTCTATTACTTTTGCAATTCACTCAAAACTCCTGTGTCTCAGTTTTCTTATCTATAAACCAGGAGTTGCATTAAATGTTTGTGGATTAAGATAACACTTGTAAAGCACTTAAAATAGTGGCTGGCACATAGCAAGCTCTTAATAAGTGTTAGCTTTTTTTTTTTTTTTTGAGAGAGAGAGAGAGTGCACACGAGCAGTAGAGTTGGGGGTTGGGGAAGGAGCAGAGGGAGAGGGAGAGAGAATCCTAAGCAGGCTCTGCCATGGCAGGGCTCAGTCTCATGACCCTGAGATCATGACCCAAGCCAAAATCAAGAGTTGGAATCTTAACCAACTGAGCCACCCAGGTGCCCTGTTAGCTGTTATTTTCAATAGGTATTTATCAAGCACCCATTACACTGATATTGTGCTATATAAATGCTGGAAATGCCACAATGAGCAAGACAGGCATAATTGGTCCTCATAGAATTTACAGTTTAGTGGAAGATTCAGACAAATGCACAGTTCATTATAGTACAGTACAATAACCACCATGATGGGGTAGTGTAGGGTGCGCAGTTGCTTAATGGAAGACACTTTACCCAGACTAAGAAAATCAGGAAAGTTTTTTTGGACCAACTTATGTCTAAGCAGAGATCTGAAAGATGGGTAGGAGCTTGCCATGTGATAGTGAATGGGGTGGAGGAATAGAATTTCAAGTGGACAGGATACCTAGAGGACCCATTAAGAGAGAGTTATACAGGGAGAGAGAACATGGCACATCTAAGGCCTTAAAGAGGCTCAGTTAAATGTACTATATGGCTCAGGGCAGATGTAGTGCACAAGACCATTTTATTCTGAGAACAGGGAGTCATTGAAGAGACATAAAAGGAGACTGTCATGTTCTGATTTTAGTTTTTTAAAGATCCCTGTAATTCCAGTATAGATCATGTAGTGGAATGAGTTAGAAGTGGATACAGGGTGGCCAGTTAAAATGCTACTACAACATCCAGAGGATTGTCCTGGCTATGAACTCTAGTACAATGTTAAACAGAAGTGGCATGAGTGGACATCCTTATTCCTCCTCTTAAGGGGAAAGCAGTCTTTCATCATTAAGTATGATGTCAGCTCTAGTTTTTGGGTTTTTTTTGTAGATGTCCTTTATCAAGGTGAGGGAGTTCCCTTCTATTCCTAGTTTGCATGAAAGAGTATTGGTTACTGTCAAATGCATAATGTGTCTGTTGATGTGGCTCTTGGTTTTCAGTCTATTGATATGGTGTATTACATTAATTGGGTTTTGGATGTTAAGCCAACCTTACATTCATGGGATAAATCCCACTGGGTCATGCTGTATGATTCTTTTTATATGTTGCTAGATTTTGTTTACTAGTACTTTGTTGAGGAATTCTGCATCCATATTCCTAATAAATGTTGAACTGTAGTTTTCTTGTTATGCCTTTGTCTGGTTTTGGCATCAAGGTAATACTGTATTTACTAAATGAATTGGGAAGTGTTTCCCTTCTAAAGAGTTTGTGAAAATAGGTATTAATTCTTTAAGTATTTGATACAGTGCACCAGTAATGCCAATGACGCCTGGGCTTTTTTTATTTGTGGGGTTTTTTGGACTAATAATTACTTCTCTTTACTTTGATATAGATATATGCAGATTATCTGTGTTTTTTTCTTGAGCCAGTGTGTGTGTGAATATATATATATTCATAGTATTCCTTACTAATCTTTTTTATTTTGGTAAAGTTAGTAGCAACATCTTTTTCATTTCTGATTTTGGTAGTTTGAAACTTCTCTCTTTTTTTCTTGGCCAACCTAACTAGAGTTTATCAATTTGTCAATCTTTTCAATGAAACATTGATTTTCTCTATTGTCTTGCCATTCTCTATTTCACTAATGTTTATTATTTCCTTCCTTCTTCTTTGGGTTAGGTTGCTCTTCTTTTTCTAGTGTTTTATGGTGTAAGGTTAGGTTATTGATTTTTGTTTTTTCTTCCTTTTTTTGGATGTAGTGTTCCATGATTCAATGTTTGTGTATAACACCCAGTGCTCCATGCAGAATGTGCCCTCTTTAATACCCATCACCAGGACAACCCATCCTCCCACCCCCTCCCCTCTAGAACCCTCAGTTTGTTTCTCAGAGTCCATAATCTGTCATGGTTCGTCTCCCCCTCCGATTTTGCCCCCTTCATTTTTCCCTTCCTACTATCTTCTTCTTCTTCTTTTTTTTTTTAACATATAACATATTATTTGTTTCAGAGGTACAGGTCTGTGATTCATCAGTCTTACAAAATTCACAGCATCGCCATAGCACATACCCTCCCCAATGTCTATCACCCAGTGACCCCATGCCTCCCACCCCCCACCACTCCAGCAACCCTCAGTTTGTTTCCTGAGATTAGGAATTCCTCATATCAGTGAGATCATATGATACATGTCTTTCTCTGATTGACTTATTTTGCTTAGCATAATACCCTCTAGTTCCATCCATGTTATTGTAAATAGCAAGATTTGGGTTTTTTTTTGGATGGCTGCATAATATTCCATTGTATATATATACCACATCTTCTTTATCCATTCATCTGTCGATGGACATCTTGGCTCTTTCCATAGTTTGGTTATTGTGGATATTGCTGCTATAAACATCGGGGTTCACATACCCCTTTGGATCACTACATTTGTATCTTTGGGGTAAATACCCAGTAGTGCAATTGCTGGGTCATACGGTAGCTTTATTTTCAACTTTTTGAGGAACCGCCATAGTGTTTTCCAGAGTGGCTGCACCAGCTTGCCTTCCCAACCAACAGTGTAGAAGGGTTCCTCTTTCTCCACATTCCTGCCAACATCTGTCATTTCCTGACTTGTTAATTTTAGCCATTCTGACTGGTGTGAGGTGGTATCTCATTGAAGTTTTGATTTGGATTTCCCTGATGCCGAGTGATGTTGAGCACTTTTTCATGTGTCTGTTGGCCATTTGGATGTCTTCTTTGGAAAAATGTCTGTTCATGTCTTCTGCCCATTTCTTGATTGGATTCTTTGTTCTTTGGATGTTGAGTTTTATGAGTTCTTTATAGATTTTCGATACTAGCCCTTTATCTGATACGTCATTTGCAAATATCTTCTCCCATTCTGTCAGGTGTCTTTTGGTTTTGTTGACTGTTTTTTTTGCGGTGCAAAAGCTTTTTATCTTGATGAAGTCCCATTTTTGCCCTTGCTTCCCTTGACTTTGGCAATGTTTCTAGGAAGAAGTTGCTGTGGTTGAGGTCGAAGAGGTTGCTGCCTGTGTTCTCCTTTAGGATTTTGATGGACTCCTGTCTCACATTGAGGTCTTTCAACCATTTGGAGTCTATTTTTGTGTGTGGTGTAAGGAAATGGTCCAGTTTTATTCTTCTGCATGTGGCTATGCAATTTTCCCAACACCATTTGCTGAAGAGACTGTCTTTTTTCCATTGGACATTCTTTCCTGCTTTGTCAAAGATTAATTGACCATAGAGTTGAGGGTCCATTTCTGGACTCTCTCTTTTGTTCCATTGATCTATGTGTCTATTTTTGTGCCAGTACCATACTGTCTTGATGATGACAGCTTTGTAATAGAGCTGGAAGTCTGGAATTGTGATACCACCAGCTTTGGTTTCCTTTTTTCAATATTCCTCTGGCTATTCGGGGTCTTTTCTGTTTCCATAAAAATATTAGGATTATTTGTTCCATTTCTTTGAAAAAAGTTGATGGTATTCTGATAGGGATTGCATTAAATGTGTAGATTGCTCTAGGTAGCATTGACATCTTCACAATATTTGTTCTTCCAATCCATGAGCATGGAACGTTTTTCCATTTCTTTGTGTCTTCCTCAGTTTCTTTCATGAGTATTTTATAGTTTTCTGAGTACAGATCCTTTGCCTCTTTGGTTAGATTTATTCCTAGGTATCTTATAGTTTTGGGTGCAATTGTAAATGGGATCGACTCCTTAATTTCTCTTTCTTCTGTCTTGTTGTTGGTGTATAGGAATGCCACTGACTTCTGTGCATTGATTTTATATCCTGCCACTTTACTGAATTCCTGTATGAGTTCTAGCAGTTTTGGGGTGGAGTCTTTGGGGTTTTCCACATAAAGTATCATATCATCTGCAAAGAGTGAGAGTTTGACTTCTTCTTTGTTGATTCGGATGCCTTTTATTTCTTTTTTTTTGGTCTGATTTCTGTGGCTAGGACTTCTAATACTATGTTGAATAGCAGTGGTGATAGTGGACATCCCTGCTGTATTCCCGACCTTAGGGGAAAGCTCTCAGTTTTTCCCCATTGAGAATGATATTCGCTGTGGGTTTTTCATAGATGGCTTTTATGATATTGAGTTATTTACCCTCTATCCCTATACTCTGAAGAGTTTTGATCAAGAAAGGATGCTGTACTTTGTCAAATGCTTTTTCTGCATCTATTAAGAGGATCATATGGCTCTTGTTCTTTCTTTTATTAATGTATTATGTCACACTGATTGATTTGCAGATGTTGAACCAACCTTGCGGCCCAGGTATAAATCCCACTTGGTCGTGGTGAATAATCCTTTTAATG